AGAGGCGGACCGGAAACAATAATCACCTCAATCAGCAGCTGAGCTGCTGCAGTGCCAGCTACACAGGAGAGCAATTGCACTCTGCATAATCCCTGCTTTCTGCTCTACCTACAGACTGGTTCTCTTCAGCATCTGCTGGGCTGGGAAGTCCTAAAAGCTACAGGATTAAGATGACACTCTGGCAAGCCCCTGTCCCTCAGCCACTACCTGTGTGCTAAGCAGGAGTGTGCTGCGGAAAGGTTTTAGCCCAGGGACCCTTGGGTGGATGCACAGTATACTATCTTCTCTCCTCCTCTCTCTGCTGGAAAAACCAGTGTCTCAGGAAAATACAGCCTTGTTAAACACAACCTGAGCGGTTAGATGATGGCATGGGTAAGATCAGTGGCAGTGCTTTTGGTTGATCCAGGGCAGAATGTGTCATCTTTTCTGTCACAAAACAGTTTGTTCCTTGTTGGGTGGCTCACTGCCAAGGTAACAAATAGAAGTTTCTAAAAGGAAATAAAATAAAAAAGGAAAAATAAACACAGAGCAACGACTTGTTCTGCAAATTGACAGGAGACTTGCCTGAGGCAATGGATAAGGGGTGACAGGGATGAACAGCTCTCTTGTGGAGCCTTATTAAAGAGAGGAGCAAAGCTCTTCTCAGATACTCTTTATGAGATGCTGCCATCTGGGAGAAATCCGGATTGCCAATTATCAGAGAGAACAATTCCAGCTGGCCACAACACTGTGAAGGTAGAAATTATCTCCTTACACAATGGCACTGACTCAGACTGCTTGCAACTTTTGTCAACTTTGGGGCAGTTACACAAGGTCTGCCATCAGCCATAGTAGTATTTATTTGTATTATGGAGTCCTGCCCACAGACCAGAACCCCATTATTCCAGAAAATATATAAATGCACAACAAATAGGAAATCCCAATGTATGCAAACACAAGGGCAGAGTGGTACTCATTATCTCCGGCCCTCCACAGCATCTGTCTTATATCGTATGATGGCTTCTACCTGTTTCCTACCAGTATCTTATATGCAACCTAAAGTGACAAGAAGCTGCTGTATGCAGCTATATTAACCCACCAATTTCCTGGTGAACATCTGAGAGCTAATTATTTCAGTAAAGACCTCAGAACTACTACATTGTGGAAGTAGCAGCACCAAGACCTAATGTGATTTAGTAATTCTCTTCCTTCAGGTGGTGTCACTGGAACAGAGAAAGCAGGTATAAGGATTATACACTGCTTCCAAAAAGCTCATGGGATGGGTAAATTCTTTATTATTCTTGCACTGGTTCCTCACAGTGTTTCCCAGTTGTCCTTGCCAAGGAGACTTCTCTTAGGCAAAGAGAGCATCTTTGTGGCATGTTGTAGTCCAGTTGTTGTGCCAGCCCCAAGCCAGTTGCAGCTCATGGTTGCTCAGACCTAGCTCTGGACTGTGTCCTGAGACAAGCAGAGAAGCCCTGTTACACCAGGCTATTGTGAAATCTGAACCAGGGCAGGAAGTGAGGCAGCCATGCTGGCATTGCCAAGTCATGGCAAAGGCCTGCTGACTGCCCTTTCCTTTGGTGACCAGATGGTATCTCAAGGAATGTGTGCCCCTCTCCTGCCTGCGATGTGGGACCTCCCATAGATCTCAGGAGAAAGAAATGCATCATATACTGCTATGAGCAGGGTATGCACACACTTTTGAAATACAAGTTGATGAAACAGACATTTTTAGATGGATTTAAAATATAACACCTACAGAATTTAAATCTGAAAGCAGTGAAAAGCACAAGGACTCCTCAGTAAGCCCTTTGTAGAGCTGTAGCCCAAGCAAGAGCTGCTATTTCACCTTGATCTCCCAGAGAGGAATATCTCCAGCATAGGCTTTCAGAAAATAGTTCACAGTACCCTAAAACTTTGTTTCCTCCCTCCACAGGATGATCATTGGAGAAAGGGCTGCCCTTGCATGGTAAAACCCTGACAGATGAAAAAGAATTCAGCCAATGGAGAGAGCCCTGGTGGCAGCAGAACGCTGTGCTCTGCTAGACAGTGAGCAGATGTGTAAGAAATGAACACGCTTGACTCAAAGGAGAGCCTTACGGATGTTTTCTATCCCTGCTTGGGATTTCACATCTTCCCCAATGAATTTTCTCTTTTCAGACAAGAATTCTGCCAAAGAGGAAAATGTCTGAAAGCACCTCATTAATTAAGGAGCCTTGAGTTTTGATGATTTTCCATGAAACTTCAGACTCTGAATTGACTTTTGAAAATGAGCTTAGGCTTACTTAAGCAGTTTTTCAACTTCATCCAAATTGGTTGAGTGAAGAAGGAAATATGAGGAGGAAATATTGTTTTGAAACAAAATTCCACTAAAAAGAAAACTGAAAACACAAGTGACTTTGCTTGAGAGGTGCTTTAGTAGTGAAGGTTTTCTCAGTAAAACAAGAACTGTCTGAGAGGCCCTTCTGCTTTGCCATTCATTAACATTAGAAAAACAAAATTAAAAAAGAGAAGCTTTCTGTTTCTTAAAAGAACTGAGAAAAGGAGTGTATTCCCAAGTGAAATGTTTAGTTTTCATTTTTTCCCATGGCATCTTTTTGTCAACCAAGAATTAAAAGAAAACAGAGGGTAGAACTCCAGGCATAATCTGTGCTCCCACCTGCATTTGTCTGGCTTTGTATTCCCTACATCTATCTTTTACCTCAATGGCTATAGGAGAATATGAAGCAAGAACATATAAAGCAGCCAGTTTTGTTTTGACTAGAGGAATGTGGGTCCTGACCCCAACACAGTAGAACATCATTAGCAAAATGAGTGATAAAACTATCTCTAAATTAGTTCTATGTTTTGTGTCTGCCACTATTCTTAACTAGGAAGGTCCTGTCCTCTTCTATTCACTCCAAGTTTTTATGAAAAGCCCAGAAGGGAAAGAGAGTACCTGTTATTTCTAGCCCTGGTAAACTTCAGGTGAAAGCTTCCTCTTTTTTCTGCTTAGCCAGAATGAAGAGAGAATTAAATGTCTCTGTTGAGCTGTGCTGATACTGCCAGATACTTCCTTATTTTGCATGTCAGACTCGTGCTCTGTCCTCATCATCTGCATGTTGTTGCATACTGCAGTGCCATGTTTGTACCTCCTTGATGGCTTTTAGTCCATGACCTTGATGTATGCTGAAGCCTGCAACGAGAGTCTCCATGGATGCAGACACAGTCTACACAGACTATTTCCTTTTGGCATGTCTAGGGAGGTGACTGAGGAGAAAAAGTCTTTTTGTATCCATGACACAGTGACTCTTCTCTGCAATATGTTGTGTTCCACCTCAGAAAGCCATCAGATGTCGTTTCATGCCATGTCACACAGAGAGCGACAAATTACTGCTAGAACTGAGGGCTTTCCCCTGTCCTGTCTTGCTTCACACAAGTCAACACTGATGCCAGGCAAAGCATTAGAAACTGTATGGTAAACAGCCTAGATCACAGGAATCTTTCTGAAATTCCAGGCCACAGTGCTTATCTTGTCTGTGTCCCATACAAGACAGAACTGTTTTGGTCTGCAGAGAAATGAAACTTGTGATAATACTCTAAAAAGGGACTTGTGATATGCTCCAACAGATGCATGGTGTTTTCCAACAAGTCCATTGTAGGGCACAGTCCCAGACCATCCCAGAAATAAGTGTACAGCCAGCCAAAATGACTTCAGAAGTGAGAAGTCAAGTGAGAGCACTTTGGAAGTCTGGCAGTGCTACACCAGGGCAGTTATGCAAGACTTGCTTGATAAACAGTGCTGTGTTCAAACAGTTTGGTTCTGGGGTACTTACAGAAAAGTACAGCTGAGCCCAGAGTTTAGGGTCAGTAGCCTCAGAGGGACCAGACTATGTTGGCACAACCCTAACAAGCTTCCAGGGCAAGTTTAGGGACAAACTGGTCTTTGAGACCATGCCAGCAAGGCAGCAACCTCACAAAGGCCTGACACACGATAACTGGTCCCCCAGTTGTCTGCTGTGACAGGAAACATCAGAAGCTCATCCCTTGACATGACTCCAACTGAATATGGGCATTAAGCCAGAAACTGCTCTGTGGTGGGCTGTACAGCCTGCCTCTTTGCCAGGAACTGAGTATGTCACAAAAGGTCAGGCCAAGGGTGACAAGAGTCAATCTTCAGGTTACCCCACTACAGTGAAAGACAATTTACTTCTTGAAGCCTGGAAGGGGCAGACAAGAGAAAAAAACAAAAAAGTGGGCAAAACATGGGAAAAAATAAGCAGATGGGGCTGTCACAGGGTGAAGACTGTCCTGTGGACAGGAAATGTCTCTCTGGAATGGTTTCAAAAGTTTCATTTTCTGCCTGTGTTCCAGAGGCCAGAGGCAAGAGCCTGACTATTTTTAAAGATAAGTTTGACGCATTATGAAGGACCTTGTGTGACATGATAGGATGTTGCAGTCAGGAAATGGACACCCTGACCCAGGAGAGGCATTCCAGCACCACACTCCTGAGCTTGGGTTCTGGCTGCTACAAGCTTCACTCTCTTTCTCAGGAGGAGATGGGAAAAGAAATTTAAAAAAATCCAAAAGCCAAACCTTTCATTTTACTCAAACAGAAATAAGTCAGAAGGAAACAGGAAACTTCGAGAAGCAAACTCAGATGAGCAAACAAATGTCTAAGGGTGTATGTATGTCAGATGTCCTCTCTAACTGAGTAGTGGTGCTATTCCTGGGATCTGGGGTTTGACATCAGGCCAGCAGTAGTAGCTGGGCACCAATGGCCTATGACTTGCTGAGTTGATGTGAAAGCACGAGCCCACGCAAGGTATTCCAAAAGTCTGTGCCTCCAATTAGGCTGTGAGAACATGTTGCCAGGGTGAGCCCATACTAGCATGTAATCTGATGCAGGCCCAAAAAGCTGGAGGTGTTGATCCTGAATGCTAAACAAAAACACTGGAAACTAATACCCCAAAGACTTGGTCTTTTGTATCTTACCATAAAACTTGAGAAGCTGAACAGTGGTTTAAAGAGACACCTTACCTGTTGGAGCTATAGGTCTCATGCTTGGCTAGAAGTCTTGACTGCTTTCCCCAGCCTGGGGACCACAGCTTCAGAGTTCTTTCCTGGTCACAGAAACAGCAAGTGCACATTCAGGCAAAAGGACACCACAAAACAGAAGCCACCAAGAAAGCTGGGACAGTTTCCCACCTGGACAATTACAGTCTCCAGTGTTCTGCTAGGAAATGGGGTGACACAAGCCTCTGTCCTGCAGAGAGGAACACACTGTATGGGAGATTCCCACTTGGTGCTCCTTTTTGCTCCACTCCATCAGGATTTATTCTGCCTCCATCTTCCCTTCTTCTCTGGTCCACTGTCACCTCTCACCCTGACACAGAAGAAAGGGCTTTAAGCTGGAAGCTGTGTTATAGAACTCACAAAATCAAATGCTCAGAAGCAAGAGGTGTCTTGGTCACATTAAACATTAAATGGTGCCAGGTTGTGTTCTCAGACTGTGTCCAGAACTGAATCACCCACTCTTAAATTATAGTACATTCCGTGTCACTTTTTGACCCAGACCAAGGAGGGGTTCTACCAGACAATGTCTTTAAACAGTCTGTGATTTAGCCCAGGCCAAGAACAACTCTTCATAAGGAGTTTGCAGACAGCCACCCTCTTCTGGAGGGTAATGACATTTAATGTAAGTAAATGCAGACCTTTCCATTCCAGTTGGCTTCAGTGCCAGAGAAAGATCTTACATTTAGTTTTCTAGCACAGCTGTAGCCTACAGTATTGTTCAAGGAGCAGGGTAGAAAAGACTACAGGGTTTGGAAATATCTCTCATGCAACCTGCTTATAGTGTGAAACAACATCATCCTTCACTGTGACAAAGAAGCTGTGGCTGCTTCCTTCATCTCTATCTCTGTTTATTAAATGGCTCATTGGTAAACTCATGGGAATAAACTACAACAGGCATGAAACTCACCTTTATGGAAGGTAAAGCAGAGAAACAGCAGCACATTTCTACGTCTAGGGCTCTGGAGTAGCAAAAAATATAGGTAGTGGGGAGGAGGAAAGGAAGACTGCTCAAAAAGAAATGAGGTATGAGGGCAGGTCACACAGGGCAAGGTTGCTGACTCTAACCATGAGTTAAGGGTCTTGGGCCAATTTACATTGTCCAGCCGATGCTATTCAAAAAGCTTACATGTACATGAAAGTCAAGCTACTAACTTTCAGCTCCATTCATCTTTTGCATCAGAAGTACTTGGAGCACAACAGCAGTAAATTAGTGCCAGCTCTCCCACTGAGATAATTCAGAGGATCTTTTCCTGCCCAGCAGGGTCTGATTTTTCATGTAGATTCCATATTGTGATTAATATGGAGGCATTTTCTCATGTAACAGGGGGAAAAAAAGCCAAAAATACTCTAAAATCTTCAACAAATAGGTCTTTTTTGGGGAAAACTTGCTTTGTTTCTTCTTCTCTTCTCAGTGAACTATTAATTTAAATGAAAAACTGTGCCCGCAATGGGCAATGATACAGAGATGGATTGATCCACCCTATTTCACTCTTGCATACCTTTGGGGAGCATGTACCTTCTGAGTGAGACTTGTCAATCACCTTGGTACTTGATATTGTCCTCACCTCCCACACCACTGATTAGTGTCACTCACTGAACGAGCAGAGAGGGCGTGGAGGCAGATTCTGCCAACAGCAAGAAGCTTACTTAAAATCAAACTTGCAAAATACAGCCTAAGATTCATGCCATGTAGGTGGAGGGAGGAGGAGAGGAACACATCTTTTCCTTGAAGGACTCATGGCTTCATGGCTGCTTTTTTAACTTGTAAAAAATAAATTGTCTAGTTTAAGGAGGAAAAGAGAGAAGGTAGGTTGGTTTTTAGGACCATTGTGTAGTAGTAAAACAGCACAGGGTGAAGGGGTGAGGGATATACCAGGAAACTGCACTACTTGTGGAGGGTCTCTGTGAAAGCAGGTCATCCAAACCCATCTACCAGAGACAGCTAGATTGTTTTTATGGAATCATTTCCACATGGCAGGAGCCCAAGGGACTCTGCAATGTGATGGAGAGGTAGCGAAGGAAGAAGGAGAGAAGTGGGAGGCTGGTTTTCATGTCTGCATGTTGACAGCCAACATCTTGGAAGTTTGATGGAGAAGTCTTCTACTAAATGTTGGCCTGAGAAGAGGTGACACACAGTAGCTAGAAATGGTGTGGAGCTGCAAAGAACTGAACTGGAATCTCTCCAAAGCTTGAGCATGCGAGGAAATTGGAGCTGTGTTCACATCCTATGCATGGTTAATTTGGATGTTATGGAGTTGAAAGGAGTGTTGGATGGTCCTAAATTTTATCTGGCTGCAAACAAAGAACAGGAATTATACCTCAGACTGGGGCGTGACAGAAATCTGTGTTGCATAGTGGTTATTCAGTGCATTTGGAGGCAGGACTTGTCTGGAGTGGGACAGAGATTTACCTGTACGGCATGGGTCCCACCTTCTGCAACATTAGGCTGTTAATATTGATGAAATAGGTACTGTGAGGCTTAGGAATGCTTGCAAAAGGGTCCAGGGGAGACCTAATACTCCAAAGTCAAACAACAATGAGCCCTCACCACTTCCACTGATGGCAGTGAGATCTGAGTGGAGGAAGAGAGTAGGGGAGGTTTGCAATGGGGTTGGACTGGGCTTTTAAAAGAGCCATATCATTGGAGTGTTTTGAGCTTTGACATCTGCAGGATGAGGACTCTGACAGGCAAATTTTGATGTGAGAAAGGAAGCCTTAGGGGAAGAGGATGTAAAAGGCAATGGAGAGCTGGGAGAGAGCTCTTAAGGGTAGGGACAGATCCTCCTGCAGTCGTTCAGGGGTAAGAGAGTACTTAGAGCAGTAGCTGCTCATCCCAGCATTAGCCTTCAGCCCCCAGCCAGAGTGTGTCAGGAGCCCCAGCCAGCGTCACCAGCCATGGCAGAGGCAAGGGCAGCTGCAGGAGCAGGGCTGCCCTGTGTCCTGCCTACACCCAGACCCACCTCCTCTGGCTTCAGATCCTGCACTAACCTGGCACATGGACTTCCAGCCCCCTCTTGGGCCACTAACTACAACCCACGAAGCCACCAGAACCATTAAAAGGCCATTATCTGAATACATACAATTAGGGATTACAACACAGCTTGATTCTGCACCCTCTGACACTGCCAACAAAGCCCTGCTTGGGCAGCAGTCCTTTTCAAGGCATGGATGGGGTTCTCCACATGACGTTCCCACTTTCAGGAACTGATCATTTCATTGCCAAACAAAAGCCATACAGCTGGATTCTGTGCACAAATGACTCCATCTAGAAATAGATGTCCAATTAAGGGAAAAGATGCTTCCAAAAAATAATTTTGTTTCCTACAGTTTAGAAGTTTTTTTTTTTAAATTGACTTTTCATGTTAATCAGTTTGGGGTTGGTTTATTTTTAACTGAGTTTGTAAATTCCTACACACTAAGCCCCCAATGCAGAAAGAACAGAATCTGCTATTTATTTTTGTTTTTTTTAATTGCAGAACAGCTATCACATTTTCCACTCCATCTTTTGTCTCAAAGACTTTCATGCCATTGCAATTCAATAGACCTAAGATCTGTTTTTAAGGGAAGCTGCAGAGCTCAGAAGATCCAGCACCAAGCAGGCCCTGTGAGTTTTTGAGTGCTCTTAAGGACAATCAAGAGAAGTAAAAAGTTTTAAGACAAGGTTAGTGCAATGATCTAGTTTACATCCCTGATGAAGTGCATCCAACAGTCAAACAAATTACCTGTAATGGGGAAAAAAGAATGAGAGTTTACAGAACAGATCATTCTGCCCAGCAGAGATCCCTGCAGCCTCATGGAAAATCATTCCTTGGAGCTGAAGAAGACAACAGGACACATGGAGAAAGGAAGGGGAAGCTGCTTAGAGCAGGTTCATGCCTGGCAGGTGTGATTTCTTGGTCTGTTTTGGTGCCACATCTTTCTTCTGGGCTCATCCATGTTCAATGGCTCAGGACCACCACTCTTCAGTAAATGCTGGGGTTTGATAGAGAGGAGGGTCCCCATCCTTCCCAGGCCTCCAGGAACCAAAAAGCCTCCTGGAAAAGCAGTTTTGCCAGTGTTGGGCTGGAATTGCCCAGCTGGTTTGGCACTGGCTTTCATCAGGATTTCCACCCTCTTGCATTTCATTGTCCCTCATCTGCAAACACCTGAGCCTTTGGTACAGGGCAACCAAAACCACAGGAGAGGCCAGTGGGGCAGGTGGAGGTGTGAGTGCCAGAGGATGGAAGGAGGAGAGGGGAGATTGGATTCTCCTACACCACGTTCTGTATGGATTAGAGCCACGCTGTGTGTCAGCGCTGACCCTCTCTTGCGGGTGAGGAGAGGGGCTGGGGATGTGTGTGGGAGCCGCAAAGGGATGGCCTAGCACGATTTCCCAGCCGGGGGCTCTCCTGGGAGCCACCCTCACACTCCTCCGCCAGGCTGGGATCCCACCGGGATCTGCGCTGCACACTCGCCTCCACCCTCACCCACAGCTCTGCACAGCGCCCCGGGCTGTCTGTGGGAGACCATGGGGAACGGGGTGCAAGAAACCAAACAAAAAACAAACCAGCAGGAAAAAAAAGAAAAAAAAGAAAAAAAATCACCCGCCCCCTCTCGGCGGGGGGGCGCGGCGAGAGGGCGCCATCTCGTGGCGGCTCCCCCTCAGTGACGGCCCCGCGCCATGTCCGCGCCAGAGCCCCCGCTTGTGCCCAGAAATGGCTCCAAGCGCCCCCGAGCTACCACCAAAATGCGAATTCCTGCACAAAATGCAGAATTCTGAGGAAGTGGATTATTTGGAGGGTGGGGGAGTTGAAACGCCGGGAAAGCGCTTCCCACTATTGCAGCGGCAGTCATGACCTCGAGCAGCGGGTTGGGAGCGTCCCCTGAGCAGCGGCTCCCACCCCTCACACGGCCCGAGCCAGGGCGCTGCAGCTGCGCAAACACGGCGGCTCCTGGAGCAGCCCCTCGGCCGCAGGGCCCGGAATGCTTCTGCGGCTCCGGCGGCCCTGCTTCCCACTGGGCCGGGGAGGAATTTTCTGACAAAACACACTTCAAACCAACAAATGTCAGTTTGTTAAACATCGTGCTTTAACCGCTGTGAAGTCTGGTGGCGTGCTGGTAACTAAAAACCTCAGTAGCCATTCCTTTGCTGCATATGCCAGGTGGGAAAATTCTCAGCTGGGGAATTGGATATTGCTAAGGTCTTCATCTATGGGCAGCTTGTCTTGGCAGTGTTGCAGGAAGGTTCACATGACCAATCATGGAAAGTCTGGTCAAAGGAAGAGGGAAGGCAAAATAAAAGTCCTTGTGAGCAGCTGTCAGGCAGCTACTGTCCTCTGTAGCTCACCTCAGAGTTCTTGGCTCACATGCAAAGAAACAATCATGGCCCCAAAGCTCAGGAAGTGAAGACGATGAAATGAGTTCTCGAGTTTTATTCTGAGCATGGTTCTGAAGTGCGGCAGCAGAACTGAAAGCTTTGGTGCCTTCATCTCTGAATTAATTGTTCTTGACCTTCTTAGTCATTGGACTTGATGCAATGAGTCACAGCTGACAGAGTATGACCATTTGCATTTGAACTTTTCACAAGGAATGGTTTGATGCTGTTTGGCTTGACTGGAAATCTGGCAATCCCACCCATTTATCTACCAAAACAAAGGAAGTCTGTTGTGACAGTATCAACCACTACATCTTATGTATAACTAAGTGCTCCTCAGATGATATTAGAAAAATAGATTTGGGGTTTTTTTCTTTAGAAAGTAGTAGAGATCATCTGTATTATCTGAGGTCATTTTTTCTGTCCTTCAATACAGCATGGCTAAAGAATTTCTCTCCATAAACTTCAAGTTGAGCTCACAATGAAGCTAATGTCAAGCGTGTCATTTGGGGTTATTTTCTGCAACTGAATCCAGTTTTGTTGCAGTGCTCATCTCCTTTCTCTGACTGTTTTGTAAGCCAAGCCACCTCCTATCTTGTCACTATCTACTTGCTAGAATCACTCTTTGAAGTCCTTTGTGTCATGGTGCCTACTCCTACAGACTGAGTACACTGTCTTTCACAATTACCCACAGGAGTTATGTGAAGAACAAGTAGATCCATTTCAGTATATTTTGTGTCTGACAGTTTAAAGCTGTGTTGAGTATATGAGGCCATGTAATGAAATCGTGTCACATTACCTTGTGCAGCAGGATGGAGCATCTGGAAGCAAATGAGCAAAGTCTGTCCTTGGTTGAAGTGACTGTCCCTTTCTGGAGCAGGTTAAGCCTACAAGAGAAAGAGCAGGAGTCAACAGATGCATGTCAGGCAGGCTGTGCTTGCACCCAGCTTTTCCAGAGGAACTTTAGAAGCTGCACCACAAAACTGGATGTGGTCTTCTGTAACAGTTACATCAATACAAAGGTGAACCTCCAGCAGAAGACAGTCAAGTGAATTAAGGAATGATGGTCATACTCTTATTTTTTTACATTCATGGGGAGTGACACAGATTAATTTTACCTTATTGGGAAATATATCTCAGTGCAACCATTACTGGCAACAAATGTCAGCTCAGCAAGGTTGTCTACAGAGCACAGACTATATCTTTGGTCTCTTCTGCTTTGTCCAAACACTCAGCCATTCCCCCACTAGTTATAATAAAGGTAGTGCCTCAAATGCTTCAAAAGTTTTCATTGAGGAAGTTGTGGGGTTTTGGTGGGTTGTTTCTTTGGGTTTTCTTTTGGATAAATGATGTTCTGTGGAAGGCCGGGGAAGATGCTCTACAATGAAACTCTGAAACCAGTCATCTGAATGTGGAATGACATAGCCCACTACCATGTCTGTAATAAAGAAGCATGTTAAATCTCAAGATATAAATGTCCTTTCCCTGGTTCCATTTCTCATTTCAGTGTCTAATCAAATCTCCAACATCTGGCTAGATGCTGCTGTGTGAGCAGCTGTTTCACATCTGGAACATTGGACAGTAACAATGAACTGAATGGAAGAAAGAGTCTGAGCCAGGAATCCCAGCTTTATAGCAATCTTGGTTTGAAAAGAACTTTAGGATTTACTGAAGAGTTGGGAGGAAGAAATCCCACATACTTGGGCCAAACAATATCTCTTCCAGTAATGCATGTGACAACATCCCAAGGAAATGATGACAAGAAAGAAGAAGTAGTCAGTGCTAGTTAAAGTGGTTTTTTTTCCTTTCCCATTTTTCCTTGCTCAGTTTCCCAGAGGATTCCTTCTTGACCCTTGTGCTGTGGTACCAAACATGACTCAAACATCTACTTGACTAATGTCACCATTTACAGTCTTTCTCTACCGCCTGGGTGGGCAATATGCTTCTGTTTCTGTCACTGTCACAGGCCAAATCCCAATTACTCAGGGAGAAATGAGCAAATGAACAAGTGATCTCATGACAACTAGTTTATGCTGTACTGGGGAGTTGCATTAATTCCTCCACAGAACATAGAATAGTCTTCTCAGGACACAACAGTATACAGCTTAAGAGTGGAGCAGAACTTGGTACCATCCCTTGTCACTGCTACGTCAACTGCACCACTCAGCTTGGTGTCATCTGCAAAATTGCTGAGGATGCACTTGATCCCACTACCTGGGCCATTACTATTAAATTGTACTAATATTGAACAGTTTTGGTCCTCGTATGGACTTATGAGCGATTTCTATGGACTTTTGACCACTCCTCAAGGATCAGTACACACTGCAAGGGCACCACTCTGCCCTCTTAGGCATATCTAGTGCATCTTTTGCTCTTTTCTCAGTTTGCTCCCATCCCACTCCAATAAGAGCAACCTAACAGGGAACAACTCCTGTTGTAAATATGAGCCTTGGTTTACACAGTAATTTGTACCAAAATATTTCCTATCCAGAATTCTTAATAGCCATCTATGGTATCCTACTAGGCAGAGAAACCTTGCACTTGGCCAGCTCTGACACCAGTCAGCCAAGTGCAGATATGAGATTTAAATAAAACAGTTCATTAAGGGAAAAAAACCCAAAACCACAAACAAACCAAAGCATTTCAACAGTTTCCCAAATACAAGTATCTGGCTGGTCCCCCCTGGTTTCCTGCAACACTTACCCACCTATGCAGCTTCATAGTTCTTGTTTAAGGATCACTTGATGAGATGAGAATGAGTTTGCTGCTGTTAACTGGGGGCCATGGCTGGCACTCATACCACATGGATTTAGCCATGACATGTTTGAGGATGCAGAGCTAGGCCACGGGAAGAGCAGTGTCTCCTCCTTGAATGCCCCATAAGGGGGAAAAAAGAAAGAGTGAATATGAAGCAGAGACTGTAAATGGCAGTAAAGCTTCCCCAGGAAACCTAGCACCAAGCCCCAAACCACTGAAGAAGGAGACAAAGCCCATGTGGCAGGAATTCGGTAACTGTTGCTGAGCAGAACAGAGCCCACCCTTTGCACAGCAACACGAGCTCATTTTGACTGATTTCCATGGGTATCTGCTTCTACTACATCTGCTGTGGGGAATTGCAGTTTGAAGGCTTTAAATAGATCACAGTTATTGCCACAAAAGGCACTAATAAAAGGAGCTCATACTTCAGCTGATGAATAGCTGCAGAACTGATTTCCAAGTTTGTACTGCATCATGAGCAGAAAAAAATCACTAATCCTAAGCCTGTGGCAAAGAATTTCCTGCATGAATCCAGGTCTTTGAAAGGTCTCACACCCACTGAAATTGATGAATATTGAGAGGCTGTGTACATTTGGGACTCTGGAACAAAACATTTAGTTCTGTGTATTAACTATAGCCTTTGTGCTGTACATACACCCACACACACACACACACTCTCATCACAGACTTAATTGTAGGTAACTGTAGGTAAGCACTTCCAACAGGAGGGAAATTAAATGCCCAAAGAAAGGTTATTCTTTACATTTATTTCTAAGATGCTCTGTCCTCAAGATACAAGTGATGTGTCACTCCTCTCGCTCAATAGATACTTTCTAGTATATATTATCTCTTATCTCACCAACACCAGTACTTGGAAGGATGCTGTACTCTGCAGCACTTACTCTGTTTTGGTCTATTTCTAATGCTGAAAAGCTCTAGCACACTTTTCTCCATAATTAGCCCCTTTACTGACGGTGGTGCAGTGTTGTTCATCTCCAACCTGACCGTAGATGGAAGGAAAAAGCATTGCCTCCATTTCTACTTCTTCCCTACTGTATGTTGCCAGAAGAATTGGAACTGAAGACTTCCCAGTTATGAGCCACTGTGTATGAACAGGGATGTGATGCAGCTGGGAAAGGAAATGTTTCTCGACCATCCTCCATGAAATCTGTACATTCCTTCCAGCCAGGCACAGCTGCAAGCTATCCTCAAAACAGAGCAATAAGGAAAGAAAACCCTCTTTCTCTTGTTGTACACACTGAAGAGAGCTGTGAGTGTGGGTAGATCCAGATGTTACCGTCAATGAGGTGGGAGGAGAGGTTGGAAGCATAGCTTGCAGGAAAAACAACCCCAGACTCTCTGAACACCACACAGCAGGCTGTCACATAGGCTGTTGTTCCCAAGCAGCCTCATGCTTTGCAATATGTCACTTAATGCCAGGCACAGAAATATCTTCTCCCTCCTCTCTCCATTTTTCTTCTCAAAGAGACTGCCCTTGGGAAGGGGTGGTCCCATTAGGACAGTAACAGCCTCAAAGCTGTATGAAGGCTTTTAGACGGCCCTGGTTAGAAATACTGGTCTCCAGGCTGAGCCACTTGCCCAGGACTCCAGCACACCAAGAAAGAGTTTGGTGGTTTAAAAGGATTCAGCCAGCCATGTGTTGAGTGAGGAGGACTAGCTAAATACAGTCAGTATGAAAACCAGCACTGGGTTTTTTGTTATTTTTAAAGCCTACTCCTTTAGAGCCTAGGCACATGAGCTAGGCAGGGATCCCTCACTGAAACCTAGTCTCCTGAAGTCAAGCCCTTTCCAAAATGGAAAGGCACAGCTCATTTTTAAAAGACCAAAGAATTATGAGCTGAGTTATCTATGTGATAAAAGGCACACACCTGAATCTTGTTCACTAATCACACTATTGGATGGAGGTAGCTGGAACAGCATTTTTTGGAGGCTGAATTAGACAAAATATGACTGGATGCCAAAGTAGGCAGAAGAAGGTTACTTCCATGGACTATAAATTAAGTTAGGCAAATGAAACCTGGATGGCTTAGACCCACCCAAGATGGTGGCAAAATGTTAGAAATCAAGGAGGGGATTACAGATGAAATTGTAAGCATGTGCATAATTACACAGGAAGATCTGAGGTTCATACACTAGGTTCTCTTCTGCTGGTGACATATTTAGATATGCATGTCCTTTATTATCTCAGTCTGGGACTCTTCTTTTCTTTGGAAGTGAGAAGGTTAGCAATTTCCCAAGTGCCACCATAGTGCATGGTTTATCTCCAGAGAACTTCATTTCAAGTTCAGCCCCACAGTCTTTAGACTGCTTCACTTTGCATGCAGCATCTGTAATCTCTTGGGGTATTTACACTGTGCCCACATTGTGACTGCACATCTATACACAGGATGTCCTTCGGCAACTGCTAAAACTCAACCACTTCAAAGCAAGAACTGCTCACTGGCACAACTTCACATGTCTTCCTACACAAAAAGATCACAGGCATCCACTGCCCTGCAGCCAGCAGCCTGACCTAGTGGACAGCTGAATGAAAAAAGCCTGAAAACAATGTACTCATGCCTCTCTGCCTCAGTTTACCCTCTCTAAAATGGGCTTAACTGCACAGTAATGTAGATGGAAAACATAGATAGGCCTATAACTAAATTCTAGGCTAAGAACAGTAGAGCAAATAACTCCGGCATATTGTAAGAGGGGTGCTGTTTCAGTATTTTGTAGACTGAGAGTTTTAAACTGGATGAAACAGTTCTTAATTACCATTAGAAATTAGAACACAGCTGGTCCCTGATGACACAGTCAACAAGTTTCTGATCTAAAACAGGTAAGGGAGCTATGACTCTGCTCAACTAGAAAAACCATAGTAGGAAATATGTTAAAAATTATATTCTAATTACTCTTCTTGTTATGAGCTAGCAATTTGTGACTGTTATGAAGAACTCCATTTCATGACAGAGGATTTTGACTGAAAAAGAAAATTGATGACTTTATACACTGAGGGATCATTTGTCATCTGTAAAGGGAACATAGCAAAAAACATAGGGACACCGGCTTAAATGTGACATGCTAAAATTAGCTGGGGAATTAGTTGAGTTAGTAATACATGCTATTATCATGGCAAAAACAAAATGTACAAAAAGTTTCTTTTTCATGGTTTATGGGCCAGTTTTGTGAAAGCATCACATCAATAATCTTAGCACCATGAGAAAACTCCATCTTTCTTCCCATACAAAAGCATACCATTAGGCAGCTTGAATTAGGAAACTCCCTCCTTGCATTACAGCAGAAGGGTTGCCAGAATGATGCGACTGCTCTTCAGGAGGCACTAAGAGAGTAAATAGCCTCGGGTGGTGGGGAGCAGTTGTGCCTCTATTTCCCACCTGTACTTCATTTTTCTTTCCTCCTTAGGAGCCCCATAGCTTCATTTGCCCTCAGAGGGGGAGCTGAGGGCTGCAAGTGTGGCACTTGGTGTGCTCTGCCTCCTCTTCCACCTTCTCTGGACAGCTTGTCTGAGCGTGACTGGTGCACACCCTTTGCTCAGCCACAGACTCTGCAGGGACACCATATGGCTGGTTTAGACAAAACTCTGTGGTATTTTTACTCCTTTATACCCAACCAACTCACAGTTAATCCGTGGCATCCCTCAAAGGGCACCAGACTATTCATCCAGCTGAGTGAAAAAACACAGACTCACTTTGACACTGTATCAGCTAACTCTCCAGATAACCCCAAAGCTTGCCAAAAGGACAAGCCTGATGTCATGCAAGCCCTGAGCAGAGCAATCCCAGATCTTGGTGAGGGTATCAGCTCCAGGAATTTTCCACCCCTGTGGTGAGAGCTTGGATGCTGAAATTTATCATGAATAAGGAAACATGTTAAGGGAGGACAGAAAATAAGAAATCTTAATAAAAGCACCATTAATTATATATACTGGGAAGTAACAGAAGATCCACAAGCTAAGCATAGAGACATAGAGAATTAAGTGCTAATAATCCAGAAAGTTTTCCACCCAAATCTATTCTGACGCTTGAATATTTGAACCTGTTTTAAGGACAATCTAAAATAAGATCGAGCACCCAGCAGCTGCATTCATACTGAGCTTTCCTTGGAGAAGGGAAACGAGAAACAGGCATAATTTCCTTTAAGCTCTCCTCCAGACATAAGGTGCAGCTAAGTACACACCAGTGTGTATCCCTCCCCATCCCAAATACACATTGCCTTGTCCATGCAGCTACCAGCTATGCTGGCATGCCCCATGCCAGGGCTTGCCTTGCCTTGCCCAGGAGAGCCCCAGACCTGCCTGTCTGACATGGCTTATCACGGGTGGTCACTGCAGGGCTGGAGGGGAGGGTGGAGGCAGCCTGCTCTGTTTATTTACTTGCAGGGCATGAAAGCCAAACTGGGAAAGGACTTTGGTAAAGTGCAGTCAAGTGACTATAAAGTACCGCTTTAAAAAGGCACAAGGTCACCTTTGCTGACATTTGGATAAGGATTTTATAGAAGTCACAGGACTGAGAGATGGGCTTGTTGTGGCTATGATCACAGGGGAGGGAGGGGTTTATGTTCTGGTTAAGAACGCTGCATTGTTGTGACTCTTTCGTGTTCACAAATGCTCATTTATGAGGCTGTCGGATAAAAGAGGCTGATTGGGCTTTTTCTTCTCACTTACTTAGACTCTGTTGGCACAACTTCATGAAATTTAACAGCCCTACTACCCACCAGTACTCCCCAAGTGCCCTGTTCTTGCATAGTTTGTCTTCTTATTTGGTTAGACCTTAGCTATTTCAAGGCTGTACTTCATTTGAACACAATGTGAGAACTCATGTATATCATTCTCTCAGATGAAGAACTGGTGCACAAGAATGCTGGAATCTGAAGGATTTGGACAGATCTTTGCTATATTGTGTATTTTGAAGCTGGTGCTTGTGTATAGGTATGTGTGTGTGTGTGTGTGTGTGTGTGTGTGTGTGTGTGTATGTGTGTGTGTGTGTGTGTGTGTGTGTGTGTGTGTGTGTGTGTATGTGTGTGTGTGTGTGTGTCTGTCTGCCTGCCTGCCTGTCTGTCTGTGTGCTCAGTCTGAGAAGCAGACTCTGATTGTTAAGCCCTGCACAGCCTGGAAAAGCAACCTTGAGCAAACTTGAGATTGATGAGTCCAGGAAGAAGGAGGACACGATCTGATGCCATGCA